GGAACCCTGTTTACCTTCCCACTGAGATGGCACCTATTTATCTACTCGCATTTACATGCTTTTGAACTGCTAGGTTGGCGAGGAGCTGGGACAAAGCGACGGGAGCTCACTCCGTCATGTGGATTTGATCTTACGACTGCTGGTCTTCTGACCATGCAGCACACAAAGGCTTCTGCAGTTTAGCACACAGCGCCACCACATCCCTTTAAATTATAGTAAATTATTATAATGTCAAAAATAAATTAAACCAGTATTCTATTGAGATTAAACAGATTAAAACAATTTTTAAAGTATATTAAAAATAAAAAAAGATACAACAGTTCTATTTTTACAGCCCCTTCATAGTCAGTATTTGAAAAACCTGATTTCCCATGGAAGTAAGTTCCTTAATTTGGGGGCAGCAACAGAAAAGACCATATCTAGTGTCTTCACCACATATACTACCTGTGAGGGTGGCAAGACAGACAGAGAGGCTTCCTTGGACAATTGTAAAACCCAGTATGGCTCATACAGGGAGATTTTTATTTTATATATATGGAGGTGACCTATAAAGCCTTAAATGACTTGGGGATGGCTCATACAGGAAGATTTATATATATATTTTTGATAGCTGGGACTCAAGTCATTTAAGGCTTTAAAGGTCAAAAACAGCACTCTGAATTGGGCCTGGAAATGGACCAGCCTCCAGGGGACATGTTTAAACAGGGAAGCTATATGTTCCCTGTAACCACCATAACCTCGTTTAACAACCTGGTTGCAGCATTTTGGACCCCCTAAAGTTTATATTTAAAATATTTTTATCCCTCTTTTCTCCTTGAAAAGAAACTAAGCCAGCTTACAACAATGAGGTAATATTTGAAACTGGCCTGGAAAGGGACCAGCCTCCAGGGGACATGTTTAAACAGGGAAGCTATATGTTCCCTGTAACCACCATAACCTCGTTTAACAACCTGGTTGCAGCATTTTGGACCCCCTAAAGTTTATATTTAAAATATTTTTATCCCTCTTTTCTCCTTGAAAAGAAACTAAGCCAGCTTACAACAATGAGGTAATATTTGAAACTACAAACCATGAAGAAGGAGGCATCTTACATCATTAATAGGCAATACTAAGGCAAATATCAATAAAGTTTCTCAACAGTTTCCAAAGGGAGTCACACAGTACAGGGAACATTACGCGAATCTTGCTGAGATGCAACTAAGGCATGTGTCACCCTCACCAAATCAGACATCTCAAGGAATGGGCATAGTTGGTGCTCTATTTTAAATGATGTAGATACACTCCAGGCCACCACCGAGATCTATGGAGGTCAATTGTAGTACACCCAGGCTAATGACCTGTAAAGGGAATCTTCCCTTCTTTTTTTGAGCTCTCTCTATTGTTATGCAAAGCAGTTTGGAGCGTCTTGGTCCTGAATAGAAATTGAAATCTATTAGGCTTACAAAAGATCTGCTCCTCCTAGATGCACATTGTTAGAACTGTTTTATTGATAAGAATCAAGATGGGCCTGAAGTTTTAGATTTTTCTTCATGGTTTCTCTATAGCAGATGTCATGAGTACTTTCTCTTCAAAATTTATCACCACAACACTTCTTCTTCCATTTCACAGGGTGGGAGTAGGAGCTTGGAGTGTTGTTCTGTTGCAGCAAAACCAACAACGAGTCTTATGGAATCAGATGAAGCCGGTAAAATGCACAAACATTTATGTCACATAAACCTTGTTAGACTTTACAGTGCCACAAGGCTCTGATGTTTTTACCTATAACATGTGGGTAATCATTGTGTGGTACTTAAAACAGTCTCACTTTCACTGTACTGCAACTCACTAATACAGCTACCTCTGTGTTAATTCTACAGTCCTTGTATCAATGTATCATGTTGCCATTGATGCCACTGTGTATAATAATCATTGCAAAAGGTCAGATGATCTGGAAAACACCCTAAGCAATATATTGTGGCTTGAGTCTATTTAATTACCTGCATAAAGTACACTGAGATGACTGCATACTCTCTCTTTGATGTTTCTTGAAATAAAAGTCATGAGAACTAAAGATAATGCATATAAAATATGAAAAACATTATAGTATTGTTGCAGGATTAAAGACCAATGCTGTGCATAACCTAAACGTTTTCTGGAATGCCAAGCACAAAAATGCTTGCTGAAGTACTATAAATAGACAGCACAACACATAGCCATGTGGGAGAGAACCACCCACAATCATTGTCCAAATTCTGACAAAGTCAGGTAAATTTGTCAGTGAATCTGATCCTGTTCCCTCTTTCTCCTATTGCATTCAATAATTTAGAACAATAGGCATATTTAGTGACAAGCTGATGGTACATTCCTTTGCAGCAGATGTGACAGAAAAGAGGGGGGCTTGGGGCCTAAAACCTCACTGTCACAGGACCAATCTTAAGTTGCAATCAAGTCAGACTTAGCACTGTGCATTGATACACAAACGCAGCCACACAGTCTTTCTCAAACAGTCCAAGCACTGTTTACTTCTGGTGTTATAATGCACAGGCCAAGCCAGCCTGTAATGTCTCCACTGATCGATCAATCTGCCCCACCATCATCCCTGATTCAAAATGTATAGACTTAGGTATTTCTTGTAGTGATATATTGAAATTCAAGAAGTAGGTTTTTGTTGCCTGGAGATAACAATTTGTTATAAATCGCCATCAGGAGCCAATATATCATAAAAGTGAGTGCTGTCTTCATAAATGACTTGCAGTTTATAGCTTAAGATCCTTCCCCTAACTGACCCGCCTACAAGAAAATAAGGTTATTCTGCACATCAGCTACTATTGCATATGATAAATATGTGGGGTTTTTTTTGTGTTTGTGTAGTACAATGGTTCTCAGCCTTGGACAACCAGGTGTCATTGGACTGCAGCTCCCAGAAACTCCTTCCAGCACAGCTGGTGGTGAAGGCTTCTGGGAATTGCAGTCCAAGAACATCTCGGTTACCCAAGGTGGAAACCACTAGTGTAATATATAGAGTCAGGCTAAGACTCAAGAGACCTGGGTTCATATCCTTGCCCAGCAATGGAAATTCACTGGGGAATGGTAATGGTAAAAGTACTCTTGGAATATCCCACATACCATGAAAATCTAATCTAGTTTCAGTTTTTTAAACATCAAAAGAAAAACATGCATTTCCTCCTTGAAAGTACTAATCACATATCTTCACAGATGTTTACAATACATGGACATCCCTTGTGGATTCTTGTCTCTAGGGTTATCTATTGTGCCATCTATTGTCCTGTATTCATATGACATGCTAAGGTTTGCAGCATATCCAGGCATGTTTATTCATATTCACAGCTTTTCATTAGATCAGAGATGTCCAACTGTTTTAGCCTTGGGGATCACAGTTTTTTCCCCCCCAAATACTGTACTGTGCTGCTTAGTCCTGGAACTGTCTGACTGGATTTTGTAGTATAGTTGATATTACTTAGCAGGAGCAGCTTCATAGCAGTGAAGCATGTGCATTCAGGCCTAGAAACCAAATGGGATTCCTTAAAACTACTGTACTTGAAAAGAGGCAGGCTGGCAGTGACCATATATCTTTCCAGAATACATGAGATAGTGATATAATAACATTAATAAGAATCACACATAGAGAATAATTACAAGTAAAATGGTTAAACAACATACCTGGCAGTCCCTGCTTGGTTCAAATTTAGAATCATGAAAGGCTGGTAAAATTGTATAATCTGCGAGACCAAGGTCATATTTCCAACTTTCTCACTTAGAGCCAGTGTGGTGTAGTAGAGAAGGAGGTGCCCCTCCCCCAAAGGTGGGGAGAATGCCCACCCTACCTGCTTGGATCGCAGACTATCACACACCTATGCTGCTATTCTACAGAACCTTTATCTAAGGATAAAATCGTGTTTGCAAGAAAATCCACAGGGATTTTTCCATCATAGGACAAAGCGCCGAAGTGCTATATTACCATAATTCATGTGTCTAACATACACCCACTACAACACAGTATACCTGATTGTGTACATAAAATTTATCTGTAATTACAAGATTTCAAGAATTCCTAAATCAAACTTGTAGTGTCGTGTGCTGTCAAACGATGTATGGTGTTTTACTATTATTAGTTATGGTGACACTTCACAGGGTTTTGTAGATATGGAGTATTAAGAAGTATTTTACCATTNGGGGGGGGCTCTGCGGGACTGTGCAGCTTGCCCAAGGCTAGACAGGTTGATTCTTCTCCTAGGAGACACAAGAGGCAGCCAAACTCCCAACACATCAGCTCACTGAGGTATCCCGCCTGCTAGGATGTTCTTATCATAAATCAATAAACAAATGGAGGATCTCCTCACAGACACTCTTGCATGCATCTGTGTGAAGAAACCATGTATGACAACTTGAGCTTGTACAATCATGCCTGTGGAGGAAAGGGGGGATAAACATGTAGTAAATACACATAGCTATAGATTGCACCAGTGTCTGCCACTGGCTGGAGCTTGCAGGCACCGTACAGGCATAAGCAGCCTTTATCCCAGTAGGTTCATTCATTAAGTGGTATCCCTTCTGCTTCGTTGCTGCGGGAGTGGTAATAATATATCAAAGCGCCAGTGTTCCTGGTGACTTGCATGATCTCTCTGGGACAGTCTCACATTTTCTCTTCTTAGCATGGTGTCCTCATCAGTCGCTTTGCTTCAGGCTCTTTCTTCTTCCGCAGTATTTCTGCTTGAACATGCCATTACCTTGTTTGCCTCGTGTCTCTTCAGTTCCTCCCCCCCCCTCCTTGAGGGTTCTTTGTTACTGTGTGGGCCAGTAAAATGATTTGGCTGCAGCTCCTGATGCTTCAGGGTCCTTAATCAGAATACAGAATCCTTTGGGGGGAAGCGTATGGCTTTCACCCTGGGAGAGTTGACAGAGCCCTGGGTGGTAGGTATCTGTGGGGCTGTGCTTTCAGGAGGAGGGAGTCTCTTTCCAAACCCCATTTTGAGCTGTGGTTTTGGTTTCCATAGTGACACTTCCTGTGGTGGAGAAAAAGAGGTAGTGAGTGAGTGCAGTGCTGTGAGCGTGGCAGGCAGCTCGCTGCACTCCTCCTTTCTCTCCCTGCCGGGGATGCTCCGAGGGCTTGTGCTGCAGCCTCAAGGAGGGGCTTCTTCCAGGCTGATGGTCCTGGGTTTCGGGGACTACCTGTGACAGCAGCACGAGGCATGCTGGGAAAACCCAAACACCTGGGCGTCCAAAATGGCAGAATGGTGAGTGAGTCCACTTTAGCTGCTACTTGGGGGATGGCAAGGAGAGAGGCCACCGCACCAAACCAGAGGAAAGTGTTGTTGTTGTTTCTTCTGTCCCTGGCAAAAGAGGCTCCCGAAAAAGCAGCTTTCCCAAGATTTTTCCCGTCTGGTCATTTGGGAACTGGGGTGTCAGCTTGCACAGGAAGGAAGAGCAGCCTTCGCTGGCTGTCTCCTCCTAGGGCCTCTGTATCGGCTGTAACTTTCAGGAGAGCTTTCCCCTATTCCTGAGCTCTAAGGTTAGTAGCAAGCACACCCCTTGGCTACAACATCGCTTCACTGGAAAGAACGGGATTCTTTCGGCCTGGTTACATTTGACCTCTTTGTCCCAGCTGATTTTTGCAAACAGGGACAGAGGGTAGCGGCAGTAACTGCTCCAGGAAGCGTTTTTCCTCACATCAGGTGGGAGAGTTTCTGTGGCCTGTGAAATCTCAGCACTTTTCAGGGACTTCAGCTTCTACGCAGGAACCTACCACAAGCACAGATGGAGCAGGGCTGGTGTGAGAGCCTCCGGTATTGTGTTACACAACCCAAGCATGACTGGCAGTCACAAAAGGCAAAGAAGGGCTGTTAATTAGATTACATGGGCTGATAACACGGTTTGCAGGAGCTTTGTGTCATGAACCAGGGAAAAGCCAGGAGCTGCAGCTTGAATGTGGGGGCATTGACAGCTGTCTGTGTGGGAAGCCTGTTGTGAAATACCAGGAGTTGGTTTGTAAAGCTAAGCCTCCAAGCCTTATAGGTTGCTTGGAAAATAGGTGTGACCTTTGGTTGAATCCTAAACAATTCTTGTGTGGAGCCTTTGGTGAGAGAATCTCCGGTGTGATATTGTTCCGATAGTACTGGATCGCAGCTCCCACCAGCCCTGCCTGGCACAAGTAATGGTGAAGAATGCTGGGAGTTGCAGTCCAACAGCATACGGAGGGCCTAACTCACGCCCCTATTGTTGTGCCAGTCATTATGGAAACATCACGTAGATCCTGAAAGTGTCCCCATAACAAAGTGGTTCATGCTTTAGTAATCTCCAGAATAGATTGCTGTAATGCTGTTTACATAAGGCTGCCCTTGAAGTCAGTATGGAAATGTCAGCTGATCCAAAATGCAGCAGCTGACTGATCTCATGTACCAACAGATATGACCATATATCTCCAGTCTTGGCAAATCTCCATTGACTCCCTTTCAGTGTCTGTGCTCAGTTCAATGTGCTGGTCATCACATAATAAAGCCCTAAATGGGCTGTTGGAATGTCTCTTTTATACCTGTTGGAATGTCTCTTTTATAAAACAGCTACCCATCCCACCCAGTCCAGGATGTTAGAAATGATAACACCAAGGGAGGCCAAAAGAACAAACACCAGAAATGGGCTTTCATAGTTGTGGCCCCACAGCTCTGGAATAAATTTCCAGCAGAGGTTCACCAGGCTCCTTCCCTTGCAGTCTTGAAGAAGCCAATAAAAACAAATTGTTTAAATCTGCTTTTTATTAGTTAACATAGCTGTGATGTTCAATGTCACCTTATATTGTTTTTATTTAAAAGATAAATTAGCTAGTCAGTGGTTCTATTGATTGATTGGTCTGTTGATTTGTATTTGTATATTGTTTACATTTTGTTGTTCTTCTACATTTTGTCATACACTGTCCAGAGAGTGCCTTGCACTATGAGGCAGTATATAAGCTGACATCAGTCCATCCATGCATCCATCAATCAATCTATCTTGGTTTTTTAAAAAATAAAAATTTCCTACAAATGGTTGAGGGAGGGGCACAAAAGGCTATTATCTTGAGGGCCACACACCACCACCCATTTCAAGAGCATTGCGGACCTTTAAAAGGGGAAAAACATAACAGATTGAGGAGGTTGGTGGAGGAAGGCTGGCTCACCTAGGACCCCTGTTTCAATAAGACAAGGTGGTAATGGCTAGTATTTGCACAACCACACCAAAAATTGAAAAAAGAGAAGAAAATGAAGGTGCAGGAGGAGAAAGATAGAATCTAACATTTTAATTACAGTATGTGAGATATCCACTTAAAGCCCATAAAACAAGTATCTCTTCACTCTTACGCACACAGTTGATCCTAATACTGCAATAATATTTCAGTATATTGCGTGAAAGAACAAATAAAAACAATATTTCAGAATACTAAGAAGCTATCTAAGCAACACAACTCTTCCTGTTCACCTAACACCTCCACAAAATGGCTGGTAGAGGTGCTGCAAGAGGATATATTGATGGCATACTGACCTCAGTCTGAGCCCTCTCTCCATAGTGCTTCAGTAATGAGAACATCCAGAGGAGATCCTGGGCTTTTGTGAATGATCAACTGTCACTCACCTTCTCTTTTGATGCCAGCAGTTCAGTCTACTGTATTACTTTTGATTTCTCCTTTCTTCAAACCAAATTGGTCATCATCTTCTTAATCCTCTGAATGCCACACACGATACAAAGGATCCATTGTAGTGTTTCTTTGTCCCGGGAGTAGATATTGACTCCTTGTTCCACCCCAGAATTTCACAAATACTCGTAATTCGGCCTGGTTTTGAAAATTTGTTTGAATAAAACATACAAAGATGTGGTGAGACCCAGGAAAGCATCTTAGTTCCCTGAGACTTCAGCTAGCACCATAATGCTTAGCAGCCCAAACTGGTGTACAATTTGTTTGAATGGGCAATGCCGAGCTGCTGGCACCAGAAGAGAAGGCGAGTGACAGCTGATCTCGCACTAAAGCAAATTTGATCTCTGGTCTATATCTGTGATGCAACACTTGAATTCCTGTCCATGGCTCTTTGAGAATATCATTGTACAAGGGAGCACATATGATCTATATTTCATTGGATCTGAATTATTCCACCTGAGGTAAGGCTAGGAATTAGGGCTAAACAAACTCTATGGCTTTCTATCTTGCCTAATACATAACTACTGGTAATTATCAGAAAATAGGATTTCCTTTACCAGAGCATGGAAAATTACTTTAAAAATGCAGTTCCCAGAATTTCCCAACCAGCATAGCCAGTGATGATGCTTACTAGGGGATTCTGGGAGCTGTAGTCAATAATAACATTTGCAAGCATTGTACCTTACATTGTGTGTAGGATCACAGCATACTTTTGAAACATCACAGTAGATGGGGTGAGGCATGGCTTATCACTTCTCCTGGGATAATATAATCATCATAATTGATGGTTTCCCTATATTTACATCTGTAAACAGTCAAGATGGTTTCTGACAGTGTTTGCCGCTGAAGCAAAGGCTGTGTCCATGCTGTGTAGTGCTCCTATTGTGTTCTTTCATATCACAAATAACAACCCTTTGACTGCTTTTCATGCTTCTTTTTCAGGGCCTGGCAGTATCTGATGGGGGTAAGTAGGGCCTATGGCTTGGGGCATAGGGTTGGATCGGTGGGATCAAAACCTTGCTAAATGTAGCAGGACTTGTTGGCTTGCATGATATAGAAGGTAGTATGATAACTGCTAAATTCATCTGGGGACAAGAAAGACTTGATCACAACTCACAGTAGCTCATGATGAAATGCTGAATGGCACACACACAGAAAAACCCTTGTGCCACAAAAGAATGTAATAGGTTTTGCCTATATTAGTATTCCCAGAGGCTTGGTAGGAGCTCAGGGAGGGCTCGAAAATTTTCTTGTATTTTATTTTCCCTTTCTTTCCCTTTCTTTTTCTTTTCTCTTCCTGTTGGTAAGGGATTTTGGGAGTTGCAGTTTAGAAAAGAGAGAGCAATGTTCAGAATGCCAAATGGCCACTTCTAGCTCCACAACTGCTCAGTATGATCTGCTGTACAAAGAGACCGGGTTGATGGGCATGGCCAGCCCTATCATTATACAGATGGAGATGGCCATCTCAAGTGCCAGATGCAGGGAGACAGAGTAGCAGCAGCGTGTTGGAGGACACTGTTGTGACTGCCAGGAGGCCTGCCCTGTACCTGCTTTCTGAAAAGGAGAACACTATCCCACTGTGAGTGTTGAGGTCACATTCAACCGCCAGTACTGTATTGGGAAATGGGGGAAGAACTGTCACCTTGCCTGTCACATCAGAAAGTGGAAAGTTTAGGGCTGGCTCTGCCCTTGGGCATTAACAAGTTTGGAAGTCCTCCAACTCATAGCATCATCTGTTGGGGCTAGAAGGGATCTGAAGTCTCTCTCTGTTTCACAGCATTGAACAGCTCTGGTGCCCGGGGCAGTAATAACAGCGTGGACAGCCTGCCAAGCACTCAAGGTGTTGCTCATTCTGTAGGGCAATCTGTAGCCCGTTGGGCTGAGTCCTTTGAAATGCTGCTGCAGGACAAACTTGGTGTTGACTACTTCACTGTGAGTTCCATTTCTTTTTCTCTTGATCTCCCTCCCTCCCTCCATTCTTTGCATGTATTGCTTTCATTAATTCCACTTTCTGCTGTCATATGCATGGAGCCTGCATAGTGTTGCACCTTTTGGAGCAGGTTGGGAAAAATGTCATCTCCTCTCTGAAGGGTAGCCACACATCCTGGTTTAGGAAGGACAGTCCTATGATTGAAACGCTGCCAGAGTCACTCTTCTCAACATAGGATCCTCCATTTGAAGGGCCATCCAGTCTATGTCTTATTTAATGATGAAGAACCATAAAGAGGAAGATCAGGGACCTTGAAGTTGTCCATCCACAGTTAGCATCTGGACAGCAGGCTCAACAGACACTCAAGTCACCTGGCCACAATCTTCTCCAGTCATGTGATATCCACTGTAATTTTTTAAAAATTAAAATAATATTTCTAATCTTACATCTGTACATACAAATCAGCACATCTAATTTTATGCAGATCAATGTCCTCCATGTTCTCCTTTTTCATGATGCATGTTTTCTTTTTTAGGGAGGCATGTGGCCACCCTGCGTCTCTGCGTTCCAATCCCTCTAAGCCTAGGTTAGATGGCAACTAATTTTTGGGCTTGTCTACATGAGCTTACTTGCAGCAGGCTGGTGTGGGATAAATATGGCTGCTTAAGATTGGGTATAGATCTAGTATGCTGTTTGATGTGATCCTTGTATCCAAATGGCATATGCACCTCAAGGAACCTCATTTGGTCTGGTTCCTTCCACTATCAATTTGCTATACTGTATTGTGAAGTGGATTAAGAAGATAGCCACTTCACAATATTAGGAAATTAAACACTTCCTCTGTTCTGTGGAGGGGCAGAAGAAGTAATTTTAACAATCTATTCAGGCAGCACTGACGCATTAAATCACTTGTAAAAAATAAAATAAAATTGAAAACTTCCTCTCAGAAGTAGGAGGAGACTGGAGAGAACAAATAAGGGGATGCTTTTCCTTTTCTTTGTGACTTTTCTTCATGGACAGACTGAGAACTTTCTTACAGCTGAATTCACCACTGAGTACCATCTGGTGGTAGCTATGATCACAGGCAGATTTTCAACCTGACCTTTAAGAAAATAAAATAAAAGAAACCCTTAGTAGCCTCCTCCTTTGTCCTTCTACTTCTGGGAGGAATGTTTCAATTTTATTTTATTTTTTATAAGAGAGATACTGCATTAGAACTGCCATAGTACAGTGTATTTTTTTTACTTCTCCTACCCTTCAACAGATCAGACGAAGTGTTTAATTTCCCAGTAGCATGAAGTAGCTGTCTTCTTAAGCCACTTAACAATATGTGAAATTGAAAGAGTAGGGCAAATTGACAGCTGCAAACTCTGCTTTGGATTGTTTCCAGTGATCGCATGCACTGGAAACAAACCAAAATGGTGCAAATCGTCCCTGCACCAAAAAAAGCAGAAGCTCTGAAAGGTGCAGATAGGGGATGAGTTGGTTTGCTCCGACTATTATTTCATGTGATCACCAGAAAAAAGGAATGAACCAGCCTATCCCTGCGGCAGACCAAACAGTGGGACAAATGTCCATCTGATTGCACCCTTTCTCTCTTCTGTATGGGTCTTCCGGTGATTCTTAGCTGTTTAGATATTTGCTGAATCCCAGTTTTCATCTTTACTAGATACCATTGGTTATATTACTTCATATTCAGCACTGTTGGCAAATTATTAAACCTGGCTGAATGCTTCCTTAACCTCTTTGACATCTTATGCCCCAAAATGCTACAGTGAGAGTTTTAGGATAGAGTGGAGCCATCAGTGAGATTTTATTATATTACTTTTATGCCATTTTTTAATTGTTAGCCACGCAGAGTAGACTTGGGTCTAGATGGGTAGGGAATAAATTTAATAAATAAAAAAATATTTTTTCTCTCTCATTTCCTTTTACTAGGAGTTCCTGAAGAAGGAGTTTAGTGCTGAGAATGTTTATTTCTGGCAGGCCTGTGAACGGTTTCAGCAGATCCCAGCTAACAGCACTCAACAGGTAAGAGGATATCCAAGGAGAAAACCAAATTTTGCACTGATGCATATCTTCCATGGAATGAGGGATATGTAATGTTAGCAACCGTAGGTCAGTTTGGTCTTGATTTGTTCTGAAATGGACTTCAATGAGGTTTTCCTATCATTATGAAATTTAGAAGACATTGTCATTAAAAGGCTGAGATTCTCAGGAAGCCTCAGGCTGTGCAGGGTTCAAGATGGCAAGTAGTACATTTGTCTGTTCTCAAAATATACATTCTGGTTTTGGGAAAGGGACAGGTCTAGAAATGGCAGAATTAAACCTAGTCTCCAAGAGACAGAGAACATAATTCTGTGCACACTGCACAGAAGGCAGGCAGGCATCTTCCAGATGATGTATGTTGCAACTCTGACCATCCTTAGCCAGCATGAGTGTGGCTGTGTTTATAGGACTTGCACTCTGATACATCGGGAGAGGATCAAGTAGAGGAAGCCTTACTATCATTTACACACTTTATATATTTGTCTAGATTGCTAATTGTCTTTCTTGTGCCACTTCTATTATTCATAAGGAAGGAATTATGAAGGGCACTTAAATCTCTCCCTTTCATGACTAGTGAACCTTGTGACCTCTGCCCTGAACTTTACTCTTTAAACTGGAGATTTTACTAGGTAAGGCCCACACACTGTGGCTAGATTCTTGATTCTAAAGAAAAATAGAAAGGAAAAAGTGAAACTTTTTGGAATGTTGAATTCTGCACCCAAATTAAGGGCAATGCTATTGCTCTCTACTACTTGCTTTGTTGTTGCCGTTTAGTTACGGACCCTCTACTTAAGGAATTAATCCGTATTGGAATGGTGGCTGCAAGTTGAAAAGTCTGTAAGTCGAATCTCCATTGACCTACAATGCACTGAAAACCAATTAATCCCATAACTAGTGGTTTTTATTCTATTTTTATTCCATTTTGGTTTTTTTCTGGTCTGTAAGTCAATTCTCTGGCTGCAAGTCGAATCTAAATTTTGCAGCCAGAGAAGTCTGTAACTCGAAAAGTCTGTAAGTCGAGCTGTCTGTAAGTCAAGGGTCCACTGTATTAAGTCATGTTGGACTCTTTGTGACCCCATGGACCATAGCATGCCAGGCCCTCTTGTCTTCCACTGCCTCCCGGAGTTGGGTCAAATTCATGTTGGTAGCTTCGATGACATTGTCTACCCATCTCATTCTCTGTCGTCCCCTTCTCCTCTTGCCTTCACACTTTCCCAACATCAGGGTATTTTCCAGGGAGTCTTCTCTTCTCATGAGATGGCCAAAGTATTGGAGCCTCAGCTTCAGGATCTGTCCTTCCAGTGAGCACTCAGGGTTGATTTCCTTCAAAATGGATAGGTTTGTTCTCTTTGCAGTCCAGGGGACTCTCAAGAATCTCCTCCAGCACCACAATTCAAAAGCATCAATTATTTGATGGTCAGCCTTCTTTATGGTCCAGCTCTCACTTCCATACATTGCTACTGGAAAAACCATAGTTTTGACTATGTGGACCTTTGTCGGCAAGGTGATGTCTCTGCATTTTAAGATGCTGTCAAGGTTTGTCATTGCTTTCCTCCCAAAAAGCAGGCTATCTTTGAAAACAGTTCTAAAACTTCAGTTAGTACAAACAAGCTTCTAACTGGTTTGTAGGAATTGCTAGGTTTTCTGGCAGGGACAGGCTGCCATAGTAGAATCTTATGGTGCTGGTGCTTCACCATCTGCATTGGCTCCTAGTGTGTTTCTGGGCTATTTCAGTTCATAGTGTTGGTGTTAACTTTTCAAGGTCTTGGGGGCTTGGGGCTAGAACATTTACTCCAAAGCTAGAAAAGAGAGGGCTTTCTCACAGATAGCATCCCTTTGAAATATGCTCACAAACACTCCTGGAGTACATAGCAGGGCTGCTTTCTCTCTTGATACCATTCAGAAATATTTCTTTTTTTGGCAGGTATGCTATATTTTTTAAATTGGGCTTTACATGTTAAGGTCTTTTATTGTTGTACTGTATTAATCTTTCGTTGTTTTAATCTGTTTTATTCTGTAAGTCATGAAGACTGTAACCCAATCACCATCGCTCCAATAGCTCTCTTTTACCTTCTCATTAGAGATATAATAGAGATGGAACAGATAGAAATACGACAACTTTTGCTTCTTGTCTCCATTAGTATCAGGACTCTCTCATCCCACATGTTTTCTCCCTAGTTGGCCCAGGAGGCTAGGAGGATCTACGATGAGTTTTTGTCAAGACATTCGGTGAACCCAGTCAACATTGACAGACAAGCCTGGATTGGTGAGGAGATGTTGGCTACTCCCACCCCAGACATGTTTAATGTCCAGCAACTCCAGGTGAGAACAGTGTCATTCACTGAGTTCTGAGATGCAGGGTGTACGGAAGAGAAGAGGGCACTGCAACAATGGGAAGCTCGGGACATTACCTGCTCCTTCAGTCTTTGAGTCAAAAGATTCTGGCTAACTTCATTGACTATTACTGGCTGAAGTTCTAAGTGTGGAGAGCTGTCAGCTGCCTGAACCAGCATGGTGCTCGACTATCCCAGTGTTTTTCGTTTCAGATCTTCAACCTGATGAAATTTGACAGCTATGCACGTTTTGTCAAGTCTCCACTGTATCAGGCATGTGCAAAAGCTGAAAGCCAAGGGCAGCCCTTGCCAGAACTGGGGCATCAGTCCCGAAGCGGCAGCCCCCAAAGTGACCATGGCAAGGTACAAGGTCTCCCCTTCCAGCCTTGAGAGGGCTTAGTATGATGTCTAGAAAACTTGAGAAATGTCCATCTCCCATTTCCTCTTAATTGGGTCCAGCAATTATCATGGGCTGACGTCCTCTCTGGCTTTCCCCTAGAAAACAAAACTAAAGACAGGGAAATCACTGCCACTGGGTGTGGAAGTAGCGGGCAATGTGATTGGCAGAAGTCCTCGGAGATCCTTCCGAAAAGGAGACCGGAGGGAACGTCTCTGGGGAGGTGAGTCCAAACTAGGGAATGGTGATATAAATATGGCGCGGTTTTATTTCGGATGGCCACAGAGGTGTTTCACGATTGGTTGATGGCCAAGGGCCATGTATTCACTCAACACACAAAGAAACCCTGATCTAACCCTGCTCGTGCATCTGTCCTAGAGGAGAGAAATGGCAGTGAGGGGTCATCACAGTGGCGTGAATCTCAAGGTTCTTTGAATTCCTCAGCTAGTCTGGACCTGGGCCTCTTGTCGTCTTATGCAACCACCAGCAGCTCTCAGCCAGAGGTAAGCATTTCTGGAATTTAGCATATCTTCTTGAAAATCTAGAGCTGTGGCAGAGAAAATGCCAGAGCTTGGAAATGGTACTCTTTTTTTTTTAAACCACAACTCTCAGAATCCCCCACTCAGCATTGCTGAGTGCCAGGATTTGCAGTCCAAGAGAAGTAAACATTCCAAGCTTTGCAAAATATATTGCCCTCTGTTTGCTGCAGTGTGGGCGCTTGGCTCATGCTTCACTCTCTCCATCATGACTGCTGCACCATGGGTCTCACCCAGCCCCCTGCCAACAATCTATAATGCGCTATGACTGTGCAACGTGGAGGAGTTCTGTGCAATTTAGAAATTGCTCTCATTGCCACTCATAGCACATTGATATTTTACCTCCTGTAATCTCAGTGTTCTCCAATGGACGCCCACCCCTGGAACTGTTGTAAAGATTTTGCTTACAGAGCCATAGAGAATCCCAGCTTGTGGGAAGTTAGCTCTCCCTACAGTGGCCAATAAAAGGAGAACACAGAGTAAAATTATCCTTTTGGATAGTATTACTAGCAAGAGCTCAGAAGAACTGAGTATGTGCGTATCTAGGGGAACAGCATGGCACCAAACATTGTTTCGAGGTGCTTGATTTGTACAATGAGGAGCCCCCTACTCTCAACACCTTTTTGCAGTTAAATTACTTTCTGCATGGAGAAAAGATTATTTTCTTTGTTCAAGTAATTCCTTTTTCAGAAAAGTAAGTAAATGTATTTGTTCACCAAACACTTCTTCATAGACTGACCACATCCTTCTTTCACTTTGATAAACACTGATAAATTTCAGGAGGCTAGGCATGGTAGGGCAGCACTTCCTCAGGTGCATGGGCAAAACATCCTGTGCATTTTTATTTAGAAACCATTCACAAAACCTCCATGACCTTTATTCCTCAACAAGTTTATTTAGGACTGCAACCTTAAATCATTCTGAGTAGTGCATGTACAAAGACTTAAGCCCTACACTCATTACATCAACTTACAGATCAGCTAAGAACATACAAATACATAAGGCTATCCATGGAGATATGCCTTCCTTGGGCGTGAAAGCAGGGAACCTTTATTCCGACCCATAGCTAACAGAAAAGCCATAAATCCGATTCCAATTACAATGTAAAATGAGTACTGTTAATCTGAGATGGCAGGATTCTGCTCTGCTGTGTTCTGCTTCAGACAAAAAGTGGAAGGTGAGGGATATCTATTTGAATGTTTGTTCATTTCAACAAGGTCCCTACATGGAGTAAAATTGGCATACTATAAGAGAAATATTGTAATGAGTTCCACGGAGTAACAGTGGATTCAGTAGTGCTACAAGATTGAGGTACATATACATGAATATACTGGGCACAACTGAGCCACAATTTCTTTATTAGGTTGCAATTACACTTTGCTGTGATTTGATTCACCACCTGTATTACGGATGTACGTACAGTCAGTGATCACACCGGAGCTGCAAACTGAGTCAGGAGTTCAGTGTTCACGAGATGCAATGTGATTTGCATTTCAGCCCACAGCCCCCCTTCTGTTGTTTGTTCCTCTGGTCCTTCTCTTCTAATCCTTTTATGATTTGCTGTCAAACTGTTTGGTTTTGAAAGGGTTCTGCAGTGTTCTGGAAAAGGTGGCAGCACTTCAAAGTTTTTTTTAAAAAAATATTTACAGAAATACCATGTATCATTAAAGTGTCTTTTATTTTGTCTGGGTTGTTTCTGTTTTGTTTTTAAATTTTTTTAAAAAAATCCTCATCTGTAATTGACCTAGTGCCAAACTAGTATGTTAATACTAGTAATGAGGTGATAAGATGATCTAGTGCAAATCTCATATATGTAAAAAAACCTAAAAATTAAAATTTGGAGGACAGTTGGGGAGAAATAAACATGGGGGCAGGTGTCCTGAATGTCATGCCCCAACTTCCTACCTCACTGAAACTATCCCACAGACACCCACTGCTGTCCTTAAAAGAACAAATCAACTGCTCCCATGGGGAAAAGGCTGTTCAAATTGTTCCAGCTTGAAAAAAAGGAGAAGACCCCAGCAGGAGAGGAAAAGAAAAGGCATGTTGGGAACAGAAAAGGGCTGGACTGATTTGAATCAGCCTTTATATCATGTGATCAGGGGGGGAAAAAAATCAAATCATCCCATACTACAATAACCCCGCGGTACTTGATCATGTAGTCAGAGTCTCATTCTAAAGCAAGTATGCATGAGGCCCATTCTGGATTGGGAGTACAGTATCATTATGTGTGGGTATGGGAAGCTTTCATCTTGCTCTTCCTGCTGTTTTCCTCCTCTCTCTTAAATTTATTCCCACCCCCCACGGTCTTTTCTTCTTTTTTTCCCTTTTCTTTCCTGGGGTCTTCAAAGGAAAGGACCAAATAAAGGGAGAAAATGGGTGGTGAAGGCGAAGGTTTAACCCTCCATGATTATGTGATCTGGTGATGTCAACATCTGCTTACTTTGCATTAAAAAGGATAGTGAGGCTCAGCTGCATGGTATACAATTGTATTGACAAGCGATACTGGATGTGTTACATTCTCTTTTCTTCTCCAGAACCATCGGAGGAGCCTGACTGGGTCAGAATCTGATGCTCAGAACCAGCCCATCAAGTACTGCTGTATTTATCTCCCTGATGGAACTGCCTCTCTGGCTCCGGTGCGGCCTGGTCTTTCCATCCAGGATATGCTGTCTGGAATTTGCCAGCGCCGGGGCCTCCACCTGCCAGATGTTAAGATTTATCTTGTGGGGAATGAAAAGGTAAGCTTCAAAGGGCAATAGAGAAAAGGAAGAATTCCTAGAAGAAATTATCATGGCAGGAATGTACATAAGAGGAAGGAAAGCTGTGCTGTTGAGATTGGGATATTTGCCATTCCTTGCACTGGGAAGAATTATCCACCTGTTGCGGCCCAGGCCTTCACGTTCAAAATGGAAGCTGAGATGTTCTCAGTAGAAATTCCACTCAAGAGAAATCCATTATGGCTTAAAACTCATTCTAGGCAAGCCAGTGTTATCTCGGTCACCACTCACATTGAGCTGCATTACAGTGTTGTTTCAAGAATTACTAAGAGAACGAACATGAAACACTTCTCACACTTGAAACCTGGGGACTTTTCAAATAGCAAGGAGTATGACATTATCTGCCACCCGATTCAGGGTTCCCTGCTCTCTCTTAGCTTAGCTACAGCCCTTTCAGTAGCCTGGGAGACAAATGTGTTTTCTCTTGTATTACAAAATATTTGAGGGCAGTTTGGTCTTGGGGAGTTGTAGGTAATTTAGAGCCCTTAGCTTTGCAGAAGATTTTATCCTCAGTTTTTTTCTATATGCAGAAATCCGGCAGCTTGCATGTTTAGACTCTTTTAATGGGGTGGGATAACTATGGGGACTGTCATAGTGAGCGGCTGTACTTCTAAATTTGCTGCCGCACCATTGAGCTCATGTAACAGCTATCAGGTATACATAGTACAGCTCAATTCTATATCCCTCTACTGAAGTATAAGCCACAGACAACAGAATTCTATGCGGGGGTGGGTGGGAATTAAGTATTGAAAATTCCTGTTTCCACATTTACCCCTTCAGATACCTGGTTAAGTACCCTGTTCCTTAAATATCTAAAAAGAAAGATATTTAAAATTCAAATACAGTACCTTTAAATCACTCACACATTTGACTGGGGCCAGTCTCCTCCTCCGCAACTGGGCTGCAGAGAAAGTGGGTGGCAGGCCACACAATCCAATGCCAAGCGTTCCACACAGTCTGTAGGTTTCAGCTTGTACACCCTTGTCCTACTAGCGCTTTCTACTGATACATAATTATCACTTGCATCCAAATGTAATTTTTTTAAAAAACTATTCCAAAATTTCACAGAAAAACAGCCCCAAGAAAACTAGAAGCTCAATATATGCCAGAAAATGGAATCTTGAAATTTTAGTGGGCATTGAGGTGACATTATGAGGAATGCTGGAAGCTAAAGATCTTTCAGTGGTGCTCATTTTGCAACGTATTGAAAATACCATGTGTATTTGATAGAGTGAGTTAGGGTTTTGTGAAAGGGCAGCAAACAGCTGGTCATTTGATTTATTATTACATTATTTTTACTGCCAGGGAAGGGAAGATACAATAATGAGATTACCTGGCTCAGGTGCCAAAATATCTTGAATGGTACCTGATTTAGTGCTGGGATACTGCTTGCTATTGTGTTTCAAGATGCAAAATGGTGTCCGCTAGCCCTAGAAAGACTTTTACTACAGTATATGTAGAACTGCTGGATAGCCCAGTGGTTCAGAGGTGGGGAGTTCAATTCCTCACTTTGCCTCCTTGACAGGGGCTGGATTTTATGATCACTAGGGTTAGATAGTTACCAGCTGTGCAGTTCTAAGATTATAAAAGCTGTCTTCCCAGAGTTGTATCTTTATTACATATCATCTGGAAATATCTGGCCTTGTTCTGACAATAACTTCATACATGCAAATGTATCAACATTTATATACAATCTGTTGCAGAGTTTTGGATTTCTGGTAAAATTTCTGGTAAAATTCCTTTTGCTATGCAGTAGAACAGTGGTTCCCAATGTGGCGTACATTGTACCCAGGGGTACAAACCAGGACATAATAGAGGGGAAAGTCCTAAGGAAGTGGAGGGAGGTGGAAGTGGAGGGAGGTGGAAGTGGAGGGAGGTGGACTGGATGTGTACATTATGGATTGACATTCTGACAAAACATGTGTGACGGCTTCCTGTCAACATCCATAATTCTTCACAGTCCTCAATGGGCAGGTCCATCCCATCTCATTTCAGCTTTATTTTCTTCACCAATTGGTTCCTGTTTGATAGGTGAGAGGTGGGTTTGATTGATGCCATGAGATGGGGTTAGCTAGGCTACCTTTCCATTCTGTGGCTGTGTGTCAGAAGTGCAGGTGTCCTGTCGGCCTTTAGCTTAGGGCACCAGTTCCCAACCTTGGCTCACTCGGGTGTTCTTAGGCTGCAGTTGCCAAAAGCTGTCACCACCAGCTATTCTTGGCTGAGATTTCTGGGAGTCACAGTCCAAGAACAACTGGGTTACTCAACCTTGGGAACCACTGGCTCAGTGGGAAGCTGGTGAGTCTTGTGTTGCAATTCTTGAAGGGGCTGCAGAAAGCAGAGCAGCAGGTGGGTTTGGAGGTACTTCAGCATCAAAGGCAGGAGAACAGGGTTTCAGTAGAGTGAAGTGGTTGTTTCAGTGTCAGGAACTTCACTGGTCCGAGCACCTCCTTTTTCTCTTACTTGTCAAGGCCTGGGTGCAGGGGAGGAAGCAGGCTGCCCCACACAATCTGTCCCTGCATTTGGTTCATGCAGACCGACTGGGAGGAGAGGGCTGTAAGCTGGGGACCATTTGGTGCTACAGTTTGGGTCTTCTGATTGCTGAGACTGGGGCTCCCCTTGCAGAATGGGGTGGGGATGGCATGGAAAAGAAGAGGGGCCAGTGGGGCAAAGCTGCAAATTTTGTGGTTTGTGCCATGCCAGTTATGTGAAAGGAAAGAGGAGGGCAAGGAAAGGAGCCAGGTTGAGAGATGCCCAGGGCTCTCTCTCTCTCTCTCTCTGTGTGTGTGTGTGTGTGTGTGTGTGTGAGAGAGAGAGAGAGAGACAGACAGACAGACAGAAATAGATACATGTCTATGTGTTGTTATTTTGTGAATAGTGGGGGGAAGAAATAATTTATAGAAATGAGGTATGCAAGTGAGAAAAAGGATGGAAACCACTAAAGTAGAAGTAGAGAGACCCACAGAGGAGAATAACTACAATTTCCCCTGATAGTCCACCCCTTTCTCAATAACTCTATCTAAGACAATTGTATGGTTCCACATTTTCCCCTCTGCATCAATATGTCTTCTTTTCCTGGCTTTTTACAGAAGCCACTGGCACTGAACCAGGAGAGTTTAGTCCTGATGGACCAGGAGGTGAAGCTGGAGACCAGGATAAGCTTTGAGTGAGTTGTGATCCCAGAAAACCCTCTTGCTCTATATCCTGAAACAACTGGGCAGAAACTGAGTTTCCTCTGTCTCAGCATGAGCCAGGGTGCCCTGCTGCAGAAGAGCAGCCGATCTGTATATGCAGAAAATAAACAAATAAGCCCCCCTGTCTTTCTGTCTTGTTGGCTGTTCTGGATGTTCAATTGATTGCTCTAAAGTTTCTTCCATGCTCCAGTTTCTTACTGCTGTTTGAGTGTATGCATTTAGGGATTGCAAGCAGATAATATATGAGCCCTCCATCATCATTGTTTCTTTTGAAGTTGCTATGGCTGCCACCACCACTTCCCTGACTTGTAAATATTGCAGTGTCACTATCTAACCCAATATGCACACAAGCCAGGACACACAATCCTCAAAGAAACTCTGTCTGCCACAAGCCAAACCACAAAGAAAAGTGAACCTCCCTTATTTCTACTGCATGGAGCTAAGCATTGAGATTTCACTGCAAGAGATCTGTATGAGTAATGCCTCATATTGCCCATTTTGCTGTGATTCATGTACATGCCTAATATAAGAGACTGCCACGCTGGTGGCTTTCTGTGCTGCTCCCTTCTGTTCATGGTTCCTTTGATCTTGCCCATGGGTTGAAATGGCAGAACTCAGAATTTAAAACTGCAGTTCACTGACACAATCATAAGTGAAGAGGGCATTCTATTATTCTTCATCTGGAGCAGATCAATAGAGAGTGCAATGTTGGCAAGATGACAGCACCACACATACAGTATATGATGCCCATTGGATCTTTTTGCTGTATCACTCCTCCTTACAGACTGGAAATCATGCCCATCAATAAGAAAGTACGCATTCTGGCAAAATCTACCAAGAATCTGCAAGAGGCACTGCAACCTATTTTGGAGAAGTATGGCCTAGATGTTACACAGGTGCTAGTCCGACGGGTGAGTATGGTCTTGGCAGCAATGAAAATGACATGCATAATTGAAGTCTGACTGATCCCACTTAACAGGGGCAGGCATGCAACTGCTAGTTACATGTGAATCTTAATTTTTCCCCCAGCAGCTCTCAGTGTCTCTTGCTTAGTACTGTTTATGAGATGACATTTTTCCTTCTAGTTAAACTAGAGTGAGAATTAAGATACAGGTCAAGAGACTACTTCCAGAGTCTCCCAGGCAGCAGGGTGTTTTGGTCCAAAAAGCCATTTTATTTTCAAGTTCTGGTTCCATTCCAGCTGAACAGAAGTCTTCAAGATCAAGAAGCCCCCTGAGCCAGCCAGTCCCTCAGAGTCAAATGTTTTGTCTTAACTTTTGGTTTTGGTGGGCTCTAATATGCAACTACTTCTGCTCACCTTCTTGTTCAGAAGCTGCCTACTCTAGCAGCATGTGTGCAGGGTTGTCTTAGCCCACCAGTCCTGATCGGAGCAAAACCCTTTCTTTATGGCTTTCATTCACTTCTGTTTCTGCAATTTTACTACAGTCTGGTGAACCACACAATCTGAATATGGAAGAGAAGGTGACCACAGTGGCTGCTCAGAATCTGGTGCTGGAGTCAGATGCAGGTATGACAAACTCAGAGACATACACAGTCACACCTGGCTGCTTGGTCTTGTATATTCCCCTGCAGACTGCTGGTGAAATGTGAGCACAACACAATGGCTGAGGTCCAGGAGTAGGTCAGTAGGCCCCCCACAAATCAGTGGAGCTTCCAGAGGAATTGACTCACCAGAACCTCACTCATTCAGTGGGCCTACTCTAGATGCAACTTATATTCCTGGATTTCAGCTTATAGGAGGCAGAGCCTCTTTCCTAAGTTAGGAAATTAGTATTTTGTGGATTCCAGGAGTGGAAGGGAAGACAATGTACTGTATAGAAATGCCTTGCTTTTCATTTTAGTGGGTGGATCATCTTAGTCTTTCAGTGACTGAAATGTTTCAAGCCCCTCTGCTATTAACCTATTCAGTGTTGCTTGCCAAGCGATGTGCAAAAATGCAGCTGCTGCTAATGGTGAACAAGCCAGAGGAAGACGATTGCCATGAGCAGCCTACCTTGGTTTGCAAAGGAAGTAGTTTCCAAATGTAGGGTATTCCTATAATCAGACATGGCAATATTGGCCTAAATGAGCAAAACGTCTATGGAGAAAAATCCCACCAGATGTCTTGCAGGACCAGTTTCGCATTTTAGAGCCACCTGCTCACAACTTTTGTCTGGCAAAGCTTATCTCTTGATCAGCATTTTGATGAGCTGACATTAACCCAGGAAGATTTCTTCCAGAGGGGAGCAGCTGTATGGAGGGGAAAAAATGGACTGCTGAGTATGCTCTTGTCAAACAACTGTCAGAAATATGAGAGCTTATCAGAAAAAAAACCCCTAACAGTTCTACTTCTCTTGATCCCTTCCATTTCTTGTTGATAACTTACATAGCTGCAGATAGGGTAGGATACAGTATTTGCTTCTGTTCCTTAGCATTATCTGTTGAGACACAGATCAGCATGTTCTGAATTGAACCACTTCAAGAAGAGTTCAAGGGGTTCCAACCCTCTTCCATGATGACTCCTTAAGAAATCGTAATCCATTCCCATCATGCTTTATTGTTATACCCATGTGGTCTTAGGCTCAAACTCCACAAGATTCCTTATGTGGAAGGGAAGCTCCCTTAGCTGGTATGTAGAAGACAATCATTTGTTCTCCTAGCCTGAATTTTTCCAGCCTCTGCATTTGGCAAAGTAGCTACTGTATTTTGGAAGGCATATGTGCTATCAGTGCCTAATTGCAGACTGATCATCTCAAGGAGTTTACTTCAGATCCTTAGTTCTAGCTATTGACCCAATGTTGCCAGAGTTTCAGGCCTGGTTCTTTACTGCCTGCTCCTCCAAGATTTAGTGTCCATGTGTTTTCTTGCAGAGATGAAACTGGCTGGTGTTGGAAATGCTGAAGCGAGCGCCTCTAGTGAGCAGAGTGAGGTGAGCCTTGGGCAAGGATGTGGTAAAACTCTTGCTAGACAGTGCTACATCTCACTTCACAGGAGGGTAATCACACATCTGAATGATTGGTGTCTTTTTTTAAAAAAAGAGAAACTAAACATCAACAGGGAAAATTGCACCCTGACATTCTTTCTTGTTATGCTGGCAGCTCATTTCTCCCAAGGCATGCAAGCCCACACATTCAAGAACATGTTTATCAGTTCCTTTGGAATTTGTGCACCCTAGACATATGTTCTGATGCTTAACTAGGTACAAAATAGGCGGTTTTCTGACTCTGACTTGAACCATGCCCTCTCCCACTATGATTCTAGGAGGACAATTTGACAGAGGCAGAGGCTGAGAATGAACCACTCCCAGATATGTCCTGCTCCTTTGCCAGGCCCTCTAAAAGTAATGAGAATCGGCGCACATATGATTTGGAAGGTATGTCATGACTGCTGTTACTGGAACCCCACCCAGATATGGAAATCAAGGGGATGCTGGTCACCAACCAGAAAGAAAGTGATTTGCCCCAAGGGAGGAATTGAAGAACAAGGCCACATTTTTGTCCCTGACTCCTCCTGCAGGTTGCCTGATATACCAGTACACGTGGTAAACCTACCATTCCTGGAGGCTTCTAGGTATGAAAACAGGGCCTTTTATAAGAATTACAAACATTAAAAAAAAACTGAGGGGGATCTCATGTGGCTATGGGGGCTGCCTGTATACCCTTGGGAGGCCAAATGTAACCTTCAGGCTGCATGTTACCCATCCGTTCCCTAGGGAACTAACCATTCTAATATTCATACTTTTTCAGATTTATTCCTGAAAAGATTAGTACCTGTGAATGACATTATGATAGAATTCGGCATCGTCCAGCCCAGGGGTCATCAACCCCCGGTCTGAGGCCCATGCCGGTCCATGAGCATCCTTTAACTGGGCCGTGGAGACGGATCTCCGCCCCCCTGCACGCATGCACGGGGGGCGTGTTGCACTTGCAGAGGGGCGTGTCATGCTCATGGATTGGTGTGTTGCGCTTGCAACAAAATCTGCCTGGCTTCTAATTTCAGCCCAACCTGGAGCGGGAGCAGTGGTGGCAGCACCTGCTTGGCGAACGTGGGGCTTCCACCCTGCCTCGTAGGGGCTGGGTCCCGACTGCCCCCCCAGGCACCCACGCGTCCAGAAGGGGAGCCCTCTCCCTGCCTGGCAGTCTTCTTCTTCAGGGGTTTGGCACCACCAGGGCGTCTACTTTTATCTCTCCCCACCTCTTCGCAGGTCACATGGCGAGGCTGCTGCTGCTGTCGCCTTGTCCTCTCTGTGGCTTAGGTGAAGGAGGGGCCCCACTCGTAACCTGGCTGCGCGCTTCTCTTCCTCCCGCCTGGTGCTCCTCCACTCTGTGCCCAGACATGCTATGGGAGGGGGTGATGCTGAGAGAACAGCCTTTTCGCGCGTGCTCCCCACCTCCTGTCATTGTGGCCATTCTGACCATGCATGCAACAACTCTAAACAATGATATTGTGTTGCATCCAGGCCAATAATTGATTATTCTTTCTGCACTGCTTCTTCCATTCATTTTACCTTTTACCTGTAAAGGCCTGTGATTATTCTTGTGGATATCCTACATTTGGAGGGGTGGGAGATGGAACTTTGCTAGTGGCAGTCAAGACTGCTTTTGGGATGGACTGTGGAGCTGTTGAAAAAGAATGCAAAAGAGAAAATGTAGAGGAGACATGTAAACTGTCTGGAAAGTATTTGAGAATTTTTGTAGTTAAAATATTCCACTGTAGTCCCTTGTTGACTATTGTCACTTTGGAATATACAGTAATACAGTACTATAAATTTCCAAAACATTGTAGATTTATTCACATGATCTTTTAAAGTTCATGAAATTAATATTCAATGTTTTCTTCCACCACTGTTATTTAATCTCTGCCCACCCACTCCCGAAATAAAGAGAC